GAACCTGAATTCCAGAACAGATCTCTGGCCGTCCCTGCTCCTTTCCTCCAGGGAAGGAAAGCTCTGGTGCAAACCTCCCGTGGGATGATGCATTAGAGCGCCCAGTGAGGAAATGAGTTCCTTCTGCCTTTCCCCACCCAAGTTTTCCTATTTCTCTGCACCCTCTTATTACTCCGCCAAGAGTCATTTGCCAAGCTTGGGGACAGTTCAGGGTAAGGTTTGTTTGGCTTCCAAGAAACTCTGATTTTAAGACTTGTCGGAATCGGTTTGACTGATGGTTTGATCAGGCTGCTGCATGCTTAAAAAATGACCATTTTTAATTTACAGTTCTGTCAGCACAGTTTCAAAGGGAACATGAGCAATTACAGGAATTGGGTAGCACCTTTTCCAAATAACAAACGTTATTAAAAGGCATAGGCTTTCAACATGTATGCCTCGTAATGAGATGTGTTATAGTAGTCAGAAAAGATACCATTAGATTCCTGAGTTTTGCTGCCATTGATGATCCAGGTTCTCTTGTTCCATTGTTTACAGAACTGTGAGTGATGCTGCTCTTCTGAATTAACTAATCCCAGATTAATTAATTCAGTCCTGCCTGTGGCTCAGGGGCAGAGTTTCTGCTTTGCCTTGGAATCTGTAGGGAAGGCCCGGAAGGCTTCTGCTTGCCAAAGTGGAGAAAATTAAGTTGAAAGGCCGCTTGATCTGAACAGGTCTGGAAGGAGGAGGCCTCCTTTAGGCCTTGCTCTGCTTGCAGGTTTCCTTGTTGGGGCCTGCTGGGAGCCTGAAACGCAACCCTTTTTTTTTTTTATCTCAGACCGCCTGCTACTACGGTAGCTGTTTCCCCTTGCTGCTGTAGAAAAAGAGCTTGGAATGGGATGCTGTCTCCTTGGGGCGGAAAGAAAACTTGGCCCCCGTTGATGCTGCTGCTGACCAGTCCCTGGGCTGGGCCCTTGCTCTGACCTGTGTCACAGCCACAGTGTCTGGATTGCTGTGCACCAGCTGGTTCTTGTTGGAGGGGCGAGGGGCAATGTGGCCAGGGAGAGGGTGGCAGCTGCAAAGAGTTAAGGAGAGGAGGGCAACAGGTTGTTTAATCAGAAGGGCTCTCTGCACAAAGATTAACCAGCCAGAGATAAGCTGGCAAGGCCTTCGTGCTGGTGAGAAGGAGCAAGGGGCTTATATTAGCTTACGGTGGCACCGAGGGGGGGGTGGGAGGAGAACTTATCTCTGGAATCCAAGAACCGGCCAGGAGGAAGAAAAGTGGGGATGGCAGATGACTTGGGAGGAGAAGTGGCTCCACTTCCCAAGATTAGTTTTGGGGGTGTGTGTGGGAAAAATCTAGAGCTTCCTGCCCTCTTTGAACCCCACTGAGTGATGAAGCAGCATTGCCTGGTTGAAAGAGAACAAACGGTTGTTATAAATAGCAGAGGAAGAAGAGGAAAACGAAGGATAAACGGCCTCTCTTATCTCTGCTCTGGACATTCCAAACGGTCATTTTTCAAAACGGTGTTGCTCTCAGCAGAACTGGTTAATCCCAGAGCCAGGCTCCGGCTCCTCAGCCTTCTCAACGGGATGCCTTTGTGCTGCCGGACCAGCAGAGATGCGTAAGGAAAGAACGGACTCTTGTTTTCCCCTCAGGGTCATATTGAGTCAGCCCATTTGATGCCTTGCAATTGACAGCAAAGCTGATCAGCGAGTCTTGAGGGAGAGACAATGCTCCGGCCTGCTCTGAGAAGCAGACCAGAATAGCCATCTACCTTCTCCATCCGTGAAGATGCCACCCATCTCGAGGGACTGTTGGAGCAAGTGGATTCTTTAGAAGTCGGAACTGGAACCCTGGAAAATGCCCTTCTGCTCTGGGGCCTGAGCAGTTGCAGGTGTGGCAGGACGCTCTGGATTATGTCCCATCGCTCACCCTCTGGAAAGCAGGATCTCTGCCCACTCCACCCTCCCTGCCAGAAAGTTCAGCCAAGGCTTCTAGACTGAATGTTTTTATCTAGATTTTTATTCTTTCATGCCTCTGGGAAGAGCAGGGGTGTCACCTTCAAAGGGTTCAGTGGCTGAACGAACTTAATCTAATTGTGGAGGAAAGCAGGATGTTGGCCAATCTCCTGAACACCTCTGAATTGACCGTATTTGGCATTTAATCCTGCTGTTGGTGCCTTAATCTGCCTAGCTCAAAAGAGCTGAGGGGTTTTGCTGCCTCACTTTCTCTAGAAAACCCCAAGCTTTTTAAGGAAGGGGCACTTTTCTCCAAATCTCTGAAGGAGCCGGTCCAGAGTGGGCAGGCTGCTTTCTGGAAGGACCAGCGCATGCACTTCCGTTTCATGGCTGAGGGTGAAGTAGGAAGTGGGGGGAGGAGCTGTGGGGAGGAGGCGGGTGGCAAGGGGCTGGGAGATCACGCTGAAGGTGTCCTAGAAGGGAAGCAGGAAGATGGAAGAGTTCACTTACACCCAGAAGGCCTAATGCAGCTTGCGCTGGAGCCCCAAAGGACCATGTGGCACATTCACAGAACGGAAAGGGAGCTGAATGCCCATCTGGTGTGCCAGATGTGTTGCATTGGTTAGTATGCCTCTGCCTGCCTTGTGCCTTTCTTGGGGGGGGGGAGGGGAGGAAGTGGAGCAAGTTTGAATCCAAACCAAACCACGTTTATTCAAGGCTCTGGGCTGTTGAGTTCAGTTCATTTTGTTTGGGTGTAATGTTGGTGTTGACCTCATTTTATCTTTCGAGTTCTGGATGGCCCAAACCATTATTTTGCCCTAGATGACTTTGCATCTTTGAATGTTGTTGGGAAGCCGGGCTGGGTGCTTATGGAAGTTCTCTGAGACTGGAAGGAGACTTTTAAATGTACAGCCAGGAAGTTACACCCTGGGAGGACAATTTAGTTGGGTTTTACTGTTACAAGGTGAGTTGGCTGCCTTGAGCAGTTTATCCTGGGTACCTGTAGAAGAAATTAGATAGAGAAGGTAGGCAGAACTGATTGGGAGTTTGTCTGCAACCAGGAAGCTTTTCCATCTCAGCCAGATTGACCAGGAGGGAAGTCTCAGAGCTCCAGTTCAGTTTATGGGGCTGGCACAGGTGAGGTCCCATGGCAATCAGTGGAAGAGCAGAGCTCTGTTGGGATGGCTCTTCCTAACCCCTGAATAGTGGAGTCTCCGCGGCAACTGCTACTTCCTCCTTAAAATGGCCATTCTGTTTGCTGCTTCCGTCTGCTTTATTTGCACCGCCTGGGTCGGTGAGGCAGCTGACTTCAGTGTCTTCTATTGATTGTCCCTGCTTTCTGCACCCTTAGTAGAAATGGTGCGGTAGATAGTTTTTTTAAAGGCATCTTGAGTTGAGAGGAGACCTGGGACAGAAATGGGGAGCCTCTGCTCCTCCAGATCCTCCAGCAACAAACATTTCTTCAAATATTTAGCTAAGAATGGAATAGATACACAAATACTAAAGCAAAATAATTTTTAGCCTGTTTATGTCTCGCACTCCCAGGTGTGTTAGCTGGCCACAGACATTACCCTCAGCTGTAGGGCAGTAATATCCAGTGTACCTGAAGAGCATTTGATTGAAGAGAAGTTGCTCTAGGGATAGATGTCTCTGGTGTAGATGAGCAAGCTGAGATTTGAATGTGGGCTTTTGGTGAGATTTCTGTTATCTCTTGTTTCATTAAGGCTGGCTCTGTGATTAGCAGACATTAGGCAGCATAAACACATATATATTTGCCTAACTGAATCTAAAGGTGTGATGTTTCATGGAATATATCCGGAAGGTACTACCTGCTCAGAGGACCTTCGTGGAAACCTGGAAGCCTTTCATGTGTGATGTTCTCAGTTAACGTCTGTGGGGTTCTGGTGCTCATGCAGCGAGTAAACAGGGAGGCCGACAGGCACTTGCCCAGGGAGTTCCCGAGGAGGGAGCAGTGAAAATGAATAAATCAGCTGAATGTTTTGGAAGATTGTTTGCTAAACTATGAGACCTGACAAAGGAGTACTTTCTTGAGTAGCTGCCAGCTGCAGTGAGTGTGACCTAAAAGCTGCCAGATGTCCTGTGCAGGTGATTGTTTCCCCTGGAGAAACACAGACAGCAGGGCGAATATAAGGTAGCAACTTTCCTGCTCACTAAATGAAGGAATAGGGAGAGGAAATGGGAAGAGGAGTTCCTGAGAGATTTTCCTTACAAGTCAGGAGATAGCAAGTCTGAGAAGAGAAGGAAAAGAAACTTCCCCCCCCCCCACTGGTGGAGGGCTTTCCTTTGTTTTGTTTTTTTAAATGATCTTGGGGTTTACATGATCGCTTTTGTGTATCTCCCACCTTGAAATATACCTCGGTTTTGGGGGAATTGCAATCTGAGGCTTGCCTAAGGCATGCAGGTTGCCTCCTTGATTTAAAGAAACATTAATGGATCAGTTTGCTTGCTTGATTGCTATTTTCATATTTATAGAAATGTAAAATTTGTATCCTTGAGACAGGAACTCTTTGGAATATCTCCCCTGATATGGTTTGTACCCTTTTGAAAGTTGCACTCGTTTATAATCCCATTGCTAAAAATGTGCTTGTAGGAAAGTTGAAGTCTCCTCTGCACCCTGAGAGCATATTCTATGATACAGGAAGCACTTTGTGGTATATTACAGGACTCCACAGCTGCATTTGCTGAGCTCCTGACTTTGCAAATGATTTTTTTAAAAATGGCCCTTGCCTTGCTGTTCTTTGATTCTGTCTTTCCCGATATGTGAAACAAAAGGCAGAGCCATCTAGTAAAAATAAATACATATTAAAAAAAGATAAAAGTATCTCTGTTGAGAAAACAGCCCCAAATCCTCTATTGGTTGCAAAGAGGCCTATATACCTGCAGCTCTCTGGGAAGGGGGCTGGGGGCTGGAGGGGGGGCCTAAACTACCTGTAAAAGAGGCTTTGCTTGCAACCTACAATAGGGGAGCTTGTGGCTTTGTTTACTTTCTCAGATGACCGAAAAGCTAATTTGTTTGCATTTTCTCTCTTCTCATTTTGCAGATGAACGGGACCGGGTCCAGAAAAAGACCTTCACAAAATGGGTGAATAAGCACCTCATGAAGGTAAGCGCCATACACCTTGGATTCCACTAGATCTGCTCTTTTTTTCCCTTCCCCCACCCACGGTATTCATTTTCAAAGCTGATACAGAAGAATGTTGGCATTCTGCTGCTGGATGCTTTTCATGCAAGTCCAGGAGAAGATTTAATACTGTGAGTTAATTCTTTAAAGTGTGCATGTTCCCAGCTTTGGACATAGTGTTGTGTGAATGAAGATTGATCAACACTCTAAGTCAGGGGTCCCCAACCCCCAGTCCGTAGACTGGCACCAGGCCGTGGCATGCCAGCAACCGGGCCGCACAAACAACTGAAGCCCCATCTGCGGGATGCAGGCAGCACACGAAACCAGGCCCCCTCTGGTCCATGGAAAAATCTTTCTCCCTGGTGCCCAAAAGGTTGGGGGCCTCTACGCTAAGTAATCAGATGGCTGGTCTTCAGTTCTTGCATTCCCTCTTCCATTGAGAATCGCTCAACACTCATGTTTCCCAACCATGGCAGCTTTCAGAGGGATGGACTTCAGCTCCCAGAATTCCCCAGCCAGCTTTGCTGGCTGGAGAATTCTGGGCATTGAAATCCACCCCTCTGGAAAGCTGCCATGGTTGAGAAAGATTGCTCTACGCATTTTCTTTCTCCATGCAGTCCTCAGCACCTGCATAGCTTTGTCTCTCTGCTCTGCTCCCACAGGTGCGCAAGCATGTCAATGACCTTTACGAGGATCTGCGAGATGGTCACAACCTCATCTCCCTGCTGGAGGTCCTTTCGGGCGTCAAACTGGTGAGTTTCCAAGATGCCACAATGGAAACAATGGGCCAGATTAAGGCTAAGACATGCCCCTGAAGAGAAACAAAACCCTCACAACAGGAGATTGAGACAAATGCAGTTTCTGACAACCCCTTCAAACGCAACCTTCAAACTTTAGCACCAAAGAAAATGTTTTTTAAATAATGTTGATTAAAACCAAAGATGGCAGATAAGAACAATTATTTAAAAAACAAAGTTGAGTGTAGCAGTGAAAAAGCAATGTTTCCCAACCTTGGCCATTTCTAGGCATATGGACTTCAACTGCCAGAATTCTTATCAATCGCCTTTTGGCTAAGCTCAAGTGTAGTATCTTATCAATGGCCATACTGGCAGTGGAGTTCTGGGAGTTGAAGTCCACATACCTAGAAGCGGCCAAGGTGGGGAAACACTGAGTTAAAGGCACGATAGGGGAAAAAAATCTGGAGTGCCCCCCTTCTCTTGGCATCTTAAGCATGTCCTTATATTTTTTAATGGTTGATCCTGGGCTGAGTTGCCATGTCTGTGCTCACCCTTAATTTCTAACCATAAAGTTATTGCTAAGGGGTTTTAATTTCAATGAGTCTTTCATTTGGAAAGGGGCTTTGAGGCCACTGGGCCTCACCCCTGGTTATGCAGAAATCCAGATGGAAGCATCCCAGGCAGAAGGTTGCCCTGAGAGAGTTCCTCAGAGAAGGATACCTACCTCGACTCTCCCTTCCATTGTGTTGACTGCCAAATTGTTATTAAGATTTTTTCTACCCCCACTTGGAATCTGCACCTTTGAATCCATGTTATTCCATGTCCTTAATGAAAGAGAATGGATATGTGGTGATCTTTCTCATATTTGAAACTTGCCATCATATTCCAACGCCCTCTTTCTCTTCTGAGGGATAAACGCTTCCAATCTCTCCTCACAAGGTTTTGTTTTTAGTTCCCTGGTATCCTTGTTGCCTTCTTTTCTGGTTTGTCTGAATGTGTGAAGCCAGAACTGGACCCAGAGAAGTCTGACCAAAGCAGAATGGAATGGAACAGTGACTTTCCATCCTAGCACATGATATCATAGCTAGAGTTAGGGTTACGTCACCATGAACTCGGAGAGCAAAATGGACATTGCCAACAAATTCGGAGTGCTTGAGTATGGTTAGAAAGGCATTGACTTTTCTAGTATGGTTAGAAAGGCATTGACTTTTCTATGTTTCCTGGTAAAATACATGGGAAAATCCCATTGGAGGGAAATTCCACTTAGGGTTAGGGTTAGGTCACCATGAATCCGGAGAGGAAAATGGACATCGCCAACAAACTCGGAGTGCTTGGGTATGGTTAGGAGGTCACTGACGTTTCTAGGCTGCCCTATCCATGTTTCCTGGTAAAATATATGGGAAAATCCCATTGGGGGAAAATTCCACTTAGGGTTAGGGTTAGGTCACCATGAACTCATAGAGCAAAATGGACATCACCAACAAACTCGGAGTGCTTGGGTATGGTTAGGAGGGCACTTACTTTTCTAGCCTGCCCTATCTATGTTTCCTGGTAAAACACATGGGAAAATCCCATTGGGGGAAAATTCCACTTAGGGTTAGGGTTAGGTCACCATGAACTCATAGAGCAAAATGGACATCGCCAACAAACTCGGAGTGCTTGGGTATGGTTAGGAGGACATTGACTTTTCTAGGCTGCCCTATCTATGTTTCCTGGTAAAATACATGGGAAAATCCCATTGGAGGGAAATTCCACTTAGGGTTAGGGTTAGGTCACCATGAATCCGGAGAGGAAAATGGACATCGCCAACAAACTCGGAGTGCTTGGGTATGGTTAGGAGGGCACTTACTTTTCTAGCCTGCCCTATCTATGTTTCCTGGTCAATTACATGGGAAAATCCCATTGGGGGAAAATTCCACTTAGGGTTAGGGTTAGGT